TTGTTCTGAGGAGCTTTCCTCTATGGTACAATACTATATTGGCGGCAAGGTTTCATCATTTTACAGTTGAAATGGCAAAATGTAACCGTAAGTTCTATGCTAAGAGTTTCTTCTATCGTACTTCTCGCTTGTGGAACGCTCTTTCGGCTTCTTGATCTACCGTCAACTTTGATCTTTAAAAATTCAAATGCAATGTCAATCGTTATCTTCTGTCTTCTTAATTCCTATTCTTTTATTGTTTTCTCTCTTAAACAGTATTTTCTTGATTTCTTTAACACTCACCCCCTCCCTTGCATCTTAGTGGCTTTATTGCCTTGATTGGTGTAAAATGGTTTAAAAAAATGCTCCTCAATTTGAACTCGCTTTACCGATTCTCGTTCCTATGCGCTAACCAAGACACTACCTGAATATCGAAACTGCCTTTATTAAGATAGTTTGGCCTGCTGTGTTGCCGCACATAATATTCTAACTGATGAGCCTCTCGAAAGCCGACTGAGCACACCAGTGGCAATTGTTTGATCAAATTTACCAAAGTGTCTTCAATATAAGAAAGCAACTTTAAAAGCAACGGAATACAAGTCTTTGTTTTGTTTGTTTTTGTTTTTTTTGTTTTTTTTGTTTTGTTTTGTTTTTTTTTTCATTTCTCGAGGCTGCTGTTCATAAAATTTTATTTAAGATCTCGTGAAATCAATAATTTTACCGACTGTATCTTCCCACAGAAAGTAACAAAGTTTTCTGTGTATAATTATACAGCATATTTATTGCGGTAACATACAGTAGAAAGAGACAATAAAATAGAAAGCTCTGCAGAGTCTGTACATGTTAAAATACTTTATATCCTGATGCATAATTTCAACTTCTTCGTGATTACTAAACTTGAAATTGTGTAGATCACCGCTGTCGTGTATTTATCAGCAATAATAACAGAGAAAAAGAAATTCACTCACGATTCAAAGTCGTAAAACAACTTAAAAATTCAAATTTAAAATATTTGTTATATACTGCATATATTGTTTACATATTTTATATGGTGCATGTATTGTGTGCTTATTTTATATGCTGCATATATTGTATGTATATATTTTATATGTTGCATATATTGTATATACATATCTTACTTGCTGCATATATTGCGTGTACATATTCTATATGCTACATATATTTTATGTACATATTTTATAGGCTGCATATATTGTGTGTACATATTTTATATGATGCATATATTGTATGTACATATTTTAAATACTGCATATATTGGGTGTCTTTTTTAATATGCTGCATATATTGTGTTTCCATATTTCACTTGCTGTATATATTGTGTTTATACTTTTTATATGGTGTTTATATTGTGTGTACATAGTTTATATGCTACATCTATTGTGTTTACATATTTTTATATGTTGCATATATTTTCTTTGTGTATTTATATGTTGCATATATTGTGTTTATATATTTCATATGGTACTTATATTCTGTTTGCATATTTTTATATGCTGTATATAATGTGTCTATATCTGTTTTATAATTCTGCATATATTGTGTTTACATATTTTGATATGCTAAATATATTTCATTTACATATTTCCACACGCTGCTTATATGGTGTTTCCATATTCTGCAGACAAACGTAGTCATTATTTGTGATAAATTTAAGCATTTCTGTAGATGAAATTCAACTCTCTCTAGCCACACACGTTTTTGCATTTGCCAAAAACATCTCATAATTGCAATTAGCCGTATAGTTGTTTGCGCTCTTGAATTAGTCCAATATATCAGTGCCTTCCATTTGGTTGACAGCGTTCTTTGAATGTGGTGATTTGTTTTAAATAATTTTACATCGATAGATGATCAACTGTCGCTAACATGCACTTACGAAAGATTTGCACCTTATTCTCCTTATTTTCTAGTCTGAAATAAATTAATTTTCTCCCGATTAGAGTTCGAACTTCGGTAGCACTCTCACTAAGTAAGTTCATATATTTGTAGATTATTTTACATCTTTCGTTAAATGCATTGCATTTACTTTCTATGGAAAGCAACAAAACAAAATATTCTTGTCAGAAAATGTTTCTGCCATATCACCTGAACTTAATTCTACTCGAGTATATATGGCACAGAATTGTTAACTAGTGCAGACAGTTCACAAATTGAATTTAAATTTAGGTTGTATTAAAACTGGCAATGAATTTAGGAAATGAATTCTGTCCTAAAAATGTTATGCGTGCAAACCCTTCAGCGATGTCATTTCGGATCAATAGTTCGTTGGGTTAAATTTTGTCTCTTTTCTGAAAAATTCAACTAAGTAAATTATCTACGAAACTTTCTTGTTGATGTCGCTCTATGTGAAACCAAAGCTTTTAGTTAAAGTGAAAATACACGAATGCTGAAGTTTGATACAACTTAGTCAAATATTAGATCATTACAAAATTTTGTGCCCGGTTAGAAAATTAAATAGAAAATTTCACAAAAAAACATTTATTATTTACATAGTCATTTTAACAACTGTCTTCCATTGTTCTAAAAGCTTGTTGATGTATTTTTTGTAGAAACTTTTTGTTGGAAGAAGGTTGTGAGGAAATTTTTGACTGACTTAACAGCATCAATTTTTTTGTCATTTAACTTATTTTGTAGAGACCGGAACAAATGAAAATTCGAAGGAACCAAGTCAGGAGAAGACGATGAGTTCTGGAAGAATGGTTCCTCATTTCTAATCTTTAAGCTTCTGCAAGGTCCGATTAGTAAAATGAGGACTTCTGTTGTAGATTTACTTAAATCGGCCGTTTTTCTAGAACCAAGATCTCTTCAAATGGCGAATGCTGTTCAGATACTGATTTTTACATTCTTTGTAAACTATTCCGGTAGAATTTCCAGTTTATTCTGCACGATGGCCAGCGTCTTCAATGATGTCGGAAATTTACCCAGAGTAAGGTTAATCGTTTAATTTAAAATCATCCTGAAGAAATCTGCCATCTTTTTAACCTTCTGAAGATCTGGAGAACAAGGCAAATAAACTTTCTGAATGTTTTTGTTGTAGTTGGAGTAATTAGTCTTTTCCGAAATATTCTTAGAGCATCGTAATGTCGAAACAGCAACTTTTCATCCTCCATCTTTGAGACATTCATTTGTGAACAAAACGTTAACATTCACCAAAGTGTGACTCGCAATAAATAAACGATCAGAACTCATTTTAAAATGTAGACACGAAAATAAATGTTTACTACATTGCTCAAAATTCGAAAACTAAAATTGAACAAGAAAAAAAATGAAATGAATAAAATAAATAAACAAAAAAGTAAAATAAATTAAGCCACACAAATGCAAAGTAAATAAACTACGTCAATAATAAACAAATTAACAAAACACACCTACGAAAATAACCGTTACATTAGATTACCCACAATGCAATAGATTACCCACAATGCATCACTGACCGGTATATATAAAACGTCGAGCAAACACACAAAGCACATGGCCTGACGATTGCGTTTAGGCAGTCGACACGCAGTCTCTGACTGCGTGTCGACTTCTGTCAAACTCTCTGCCAAAGTAGAGAGATCGACAGATACAATATGCCTATGTTTATAATAAATGTTGTTTTATACAGTTTATTATAAACAGTGCATTTACTTAAATATTTGTATCTATAAAAAGAATGTATAAACATAAAAATGTCTTAAAATAATTGTCGGACTTTGTTCATTTCATAATGTGTGACGTCATTTGTTTACATTTGATACGCCATGAGCAGATATGAATGTACGTGAGAGATTCATAGAAGATTGAAAAATACAGTAAATTCGACCGTGCTAACTGAACGCTCCTCTGTGGTTCTCTCAGATCAATTAAGGCACGTCAAGCTAAAAGAAGGTTCCGTATAGGATACTGGTTCTAATCCTGTCGGAGCACGAATATTTTCTGTGAAAACTTCTCGGACATTCAGGCCGGTAAATGTTGCTTAATACTGTTTATTATAAACAGAGCATTTACTTAAACATTTGTATCTATAAGAAGAATGTATAAACATAAAAATGTCTTAATATATATATATATATATATATATTAATAACATGACCATTGTGTATGATATTACTTGTTATCATTAACTCTGAATTGCTATGACTTCTTGTAAAAGAGAATGAATAGGTTTCTCTTTGTTTTCTCTACAGAATTAACGTCAATATTTTCCTTTTCTCATGTGTATTTTGCCTTTCCGAAGGTTATGTGTGAGAAAGTGACTGCAAGTTACCGAATCTTGAATTCGATTTGCCAATAATGCCGATAATTCTTCACTGACTTCTTAATAAGTAAATATCGAATATATTATTCTAAAAATTATTTTATCTTATACACATAATCCTTTTTAAAAACTGTCTAATTTCAAACACATCTGAAAATAAAATAGTAATATGGCCTACTTCATAAGTCTGTTTCCTGTTTCTAGCAATTTTTTTATAGTTTGACGTTTCATATATTGTTTTATTTAAATTAATGGAGTATGAATGAAAGCAAGAATAAAAAAAGCAATGTCGCTTACCTCGTGGTGAGGAGAGAAAAAGAAGCGAAGGTAACAGGTGATTTCTTTTATAGAATGACAAACCACGGAAAACGACATATTATTGGAAGAAAGAAAACTCGACCGAAAATGGGAGTCGTTGTTTTTGTTCATTTCGGCGAACTTGACGAAGCAACGTGCTAGTCAAAAGGGGGAAAGCGACATAGGAGAAAGAGTGTCAAAGACGCGGGTGGGGGAGAAGAAGATGATTTTTTTTTTCGGTGACAGAAAGGACGAGAGAGATCCTGAGAGAATGAGAGGAGATTCAAACACTCAGCCCCCATTGATGCATCCACTCTCGGCTTCATTTTTAATTTTAAGCTTTCAAACCACAATTCCATATGATATGACTTATTGTTCTAACAGGTTTTGGCCAAAAGAAAAAAGCAGATGGCAAAATAGAAATGGAATGAAAAAAACGGAATTGGTCAACCGTTGGACAAATCAATTAAGTTGATTGCTTAGAATGACGCAATGAAAATGAAAAAGACAAAATCGAAAGAAGTGGTTCTAAATAAAAATAAGTTGAAAGGGAGTATTGATTAATGAAAAGGAAATCATGGCGGCAAAGAATGTCAAAAGTAAACGGTGATTTTAGAAGAAAAATAGAAAGATGAAGGAAAGATAGAAAACGAGAAATGAATGGGATGATCACGTGAAAAAGAAAGAAAAGAAAAAAGGAAGGAAACACTGAAGAAGAAAAGGGGGAAATGATGAAACAGGAAGCAAGAAAAGAAATGGAAGAATAAATGAAATGACGAAGGAATGAACGAATAAAAAATAGACTGGACAGAGGAGGAAAAAAGAGAGAATATAAGGAAGGAATGAACGGGGGAAGAAAAAAGTGAGAAGGTAATCAAGGTAGAAAGAAAAGAAAGAAGTAATGAAAAAAAAGGAAAAGGAATGGGAGAGGGGGAGCAACAAAGAAAAGACGAACGAATAAACGAAAAAATGGAAGGTAGAAAAGAACTGAAGGAAAGAAAGAATGTGCGAATAAAGGAATGAAGGAAAAGAGGAAGAAAAAGTGAAAAGAAAGGAAGAAAGGAAGAAAGGAAAAAAGAAAGGAAGGAAAAAGGAGGGAAATACGAAGAAGGAATCAGAGGGACAAACGAACGAGAAAAAGAATGGAAGGAAGGTCGGAAGGAAGGATGGTAAGAAGGAATGAATGGAAGGAAGGAAGGATGACAGGAAGAAAAGAAGGAAGGCATGAATGAATGAATGAATGAATGAATGAATAAATGAAGGAAGGAAGGAAAGGTGTCAAGCAGGAAGGAAAGAAAGAAGGAAGGCATGAAGGAAGGAAGGAAGGAAGGAAGGAAAGATATGCAGGAAGGAAGGATGGAATGAATAAGAAAGAAAGAATGTCAGGAAGCAAGGAAGGAATAAAGGAAGGAAGGATGGCTGGAAGGAAAGAACGGACGAACGAATGAACGAACGGATGAAGAAAGAATGGCAGGAAGGAAGGATGGAAGGAATGAATGAATAAATGAATGAAGGAATGAAAGCAGGAAAGAAGGACGGATTGCAGGAAGGAGGGAAGAATGGCAGGAACGAAGTAAGGAATAACTGAAAGAAGGAAAATTGGCAGGAAGTATGACAGGAAAGAAAGAAGGAAGGAAAGAATGAAGGAAGGCAGGAATGAAAAAAAGGATGATAGGAAGGCAGGAAGGAAGGAGAAAAGGAAGGAAGGAAGGAAGGAAGGAAGGAAGGAAGGAAGGAAGGAAGGAAGGAGAAAAGGAAGGAAGGAAGGAAGGAAGGAAGGAAGGGTCGGTGGAAGGAATGAAGGAAAGAAAGAATGAAAGAAGGATGACAGGAAGGCAGTAATAAATGAAGTAAGGAAGTATGGCAGGAAGGAAGAAATGCAAGGAAGGAAGGAAAGGAAGGAAGGAGAGAAGGAAGGAAGGAAGGAAGGAAGGAAGGAAGGAAGGAAGGAAGGAAGGAAGGAAGGAAGGAAGGAAAAAAGAAGGAAGGAAGGAAGGAAGGAGAGGGTGGAAGGAGAGGGAGGAAGGAAGGAAGAAAGGAAAAAAGGAGGGAAGGATGGAAGGAAGGGTGGCAGGAAGTAAAGGACAGAAGTACAAAAATGAAAATTGTTATACAAATAATTAAAGTGATATGTAAAATTTCTGGTGGAGTGAATTGTGTCATGGTGCTTTTTTTTTCTCACAGACGGTGTTCAATTGACCCTGCTATACTTTGCAGACAACAAAATCAAAATCAAACAACGCGCATGAGCGAAATTAAAAATATAAAATGTCGACAATTTACCCATCGCACCCTGTTGATGAAAAAAAAAGAACATACAAATATCAGAAAGATTGCATAAAATAAGCGCAAACCATCAAAAAATGAACGAAAAAAGAAAAGAAAATTTGAAAGAAAAATAATGGAAGGCACATTGTAGAATAAAAATATGGGAAAGTAATTGTGAAAAAAAAAAAAAGATCGTGCAACAAGATGATCAATGTTAGAAAAGTAAAAAAAAATCGAAGAAAGAAAGATAGAAAATAGAATATGACAATCGGGTAAACAAAAATAATTTTAAACATAATTTAATTTTAAACGATTTGTACAAACGGGATAAAAGATTTACTTAACAAAATGAGAGTTTACAAAAAATGAGAAGTGAAAAAAAGGAAATTAAATAAGGAGTAGAAAAGGAAATAAAAAAGCATTAAATATTTGATCGTTACCAAAAAAAAAAGAAGGACCATATATCAGAATATGGAATGGTTGTTTTCTTAGCATAACTTAGATTTGGCACAAGGCCGAAAGCTTGTATCACCCAGTGAGGATCGATCTCATTAAAACTGATATAACGACACAAGACATTACACCACGTCGAAGAGCCCAGACGACTTCCTATGCGTAGCTTAGGTGTGGCTCAGGGCCAAAAGTACCCAGAGTACCCAGTTAGGATCGAACTCGCTATTATAGTCGTATTTGGTCTTGCACGTCGGATGCTTACAAAGAAGGGAATAAAATGAAACACAAGGTTTAAAACAAATAAGAATAAAGGTAACACTTAAAAGCGGTAAAATTATGCTTAATTACTGAAGTAATTTAAATCATTTGAATTATAGTCGAAGAGGAATTAACAAAAGGCAAATATATTTAAGACATTTCATTACATACTCCTATATTGCTTACTGTGCAGTACATACACACATACTTGCTCATACACACACGCACATATATATATATAGAGAGAGAGAAAAGAGAATGAGAGAGAGTTGTATGTATATACTGCATATATATATATATATATGTGTGTGTGTGTGTGTGTGTGATAGAGAGCATGTCCGTGTATGTAAATACATAAATGCAATGTATGTATCGAATTTTCACAATATAATTATACAATTGATTCAAAGTAAAACATATAAAACAGAATTAATGAATGTCAATAATTTAGTGAAAATCGACCAGTAGTTATTTACGATTTCAATATAAATTAAGATTAATGGAGAACATTGTTTTCTATTTAAAATCTAAAAAGCATCTCATTTCAAATTTAGCCTTTTCCTTCATACAAAACCCGTTGCTATCCAATTCAATATTTATTTCTTCTTTAGTAACATCCTTATGGAGAAATGCCGTGAAGAAATGAAGTTACCATATTTGGTTTCAGATCGAACGAGAAAAAGATTTCATTACAAAATAAACCTTGTTAAGGTGTAAATAAATTACTATCTTTGAAAGAAGCAACTAAGGAATTGGAGACTTGTAAATTCAAAAGCATTTTCTAAATCTCAAGTCGAAAGTAAATCTTGTTTCGTTATTCTATCATGAGCAAATATGCTTAACAGCTATCTTTCAACCACCATCTTGACGCTAGAAAAACCTATCGCAATTCCCATGCGCAGTCGAGACATGATTGAAGCCTTCCTTTCTATTTCTAGATATATGACCACTGGAGTAAACAGACAGACATATGGATGTTGTCCTAATACGTTTCTCTCTTTATTTCGAAACATTGTCGTTGTCGTCATTTTTCAAAATCTAGCTACGTTCATTTGTTTCCATGTTGGTGAAATAAAATTAACCCAAATCATTGGGCATGAATACAGACATATTACTTTGTTATTTATTCAAATTTAAGAAGACAAATCTTATATTAAATGTTTAATATTGATGACCATAACATCCAGTGGCATCACTTTAACCACCGAAGTTAAGCAAACCTAGTCGAACCTAGCTTGTAACTAGATGATCGCTTGGTAATACGTTGTGCTGTAAGCTTATGTGTGGGTGGTATAACTGATCATGGCTCGGATTTTGAAATCGGAGACCCGAGTTCCAATCATCATCCAGTTCGTTATATTCACTTACGAATAAAAGATATGGATCTATCTTTTTATTTTTTAATAAATTTTGTCTTTTTTTATGCACGGAGGAGTAATGGATAGCGGCTCGGATTGAGGAATCGGAGAGCCGAGTTCAAATTCCAGTCGAATCTATGACACTCACTTGGGAAAGGTATGAATCCTCTTCTTCTCCCCACAGCTATGCGTAAATATCAGAACAGACCGAGTTGGATTGTAAACGGTCTACCGCAGTAAGAAATGGCAACCTACTGCGGGAAAAATCTGCCTCGTCAGTCATGTATCAAAAGATACATGATCGCCTAAGCGTGTCTCACTCATGGCACATCATTGACTGAAACCCTGTTCTGTCATCTATTTATAAAAACATGATTAGTAAGACTTGTATCAGTAAACCATTATTATCTCCAGAACCTGCTTACAATCTAAAAATAATTTCTGGCTTTAAATAATCGCAAAAAGACTGTTAAGCCACAAAACACGTCAGAGGCATAATCTTTCTTTAGTGGGACTTCTCAAACTGGACCTGCTCTTATTAATTTTACTGTTTAAGAAAAATAAAGAAAAGCAAATTAAATACTTCTATCCGGGAAAATAATGTGTATATTAAAAAAAATCAAAGATACAAACAATCCATTCAAGAAAAATAGAATAAGTAAGAGTCTAGCATCACAAGCAATTTGCTGCATCGATAAGGCGCCTATTACACTTGAAAAATTCGCAGCTAGAGTCTGGGACAATGAAAAGCTCTCAGCCTCTACAAATATATAGGGTGTTCCAATAAATTGGACTGATTTGAAATGGGAATTACGTTTAAGCGTCTAATGATTTTTTTGCTTTTTCTTTCAGATTTAACAACTTAAGTCTTTGGCAATTTCAACCATGAAAAGTTTAACAATCAAACAACGTGTTAAAATCATCGAAGCCTATTACGAAAATGGACGTTCAAATTTATAAATATATGACAATGATTCCGCTAGCAAAAAATACACACCAATGACCTTTTGTGGATGCATCGGCTTTCAACCAATCTTCCTTGAATTTTCATCAGCCCAAATGCGACAATTCTGTTTATTAACGAACCCAGCAAGATGAAAATGGGCTTCATCACTAAAGAGGATTTTTTGTGAAAAATCTTCATCGTCTCGTCTTTGCGCATGCACCCATTTAACGAATGTACGGCGCTCCAAATGGTCAGCAGGTTTCAGTTCTTGTGTTAATTGAATTTTGTAAGCGTGTAGAGACAAATCTTTTATCAAAATTCAATGTAACGTTGTTGCGGAAAGGTTCAATTCCTGCGCGTGATGACGAGTAGAGGGGTCTGGATTTTTGGCCACATTCTCGGGCACTGCAACAATGTTTTCAGCTGAACGGCGTAAACGAGCACGCAATGGTGTTTTCACATCTGCCACCGACCCAGTTTGTTTGAATTCACGAAGAATCTTTTTTCAATTGCTCTCCTGAAACTTTAACACATTGTTTATCTTTTCATGGTTAAAATTGCCAAAGACTTAAGTTATTAAATTTGAAAGAAAAAGAAAAAAATCATTAGACGCTTAAACTTTATTCACATGTAAAATCGGTGCAAAGAACAGCCTATACAAGTGCATAGAGCTAGTGTCCTGAACAGGCTAATGTATTGTAGTTTGGCCTGGACTTCCTTTTTTCCATCAAGAGCAACGGCTGTATAGCATTCACTTGCACAGCCTGAGATTCAAGCTGGGAATCACATGAAGGGACAAAATCACACACACAGACCAACCTCTGTTCTTGAAGTATCACAGCATTCCAGCGTGAAGCAGTGAAGCAGTGTCGTCTAATATTGGTTGTGCCATGTCTGAAGAATGAACGACAAAGAATTCTGAAAATTCTGATGCAGAATTGAAAGAGAAGAAAAGCTGATTGTACAGATTTTCTACTTAAGCACAAATATTGTTTAATATCAAAGATACCTTTTGTGAAAAAAGTTCTCAACATCAGGACCAATAACGGCAGTATTTTCGTAATGAGCTGTTGACATATGAAAGTGCCTTGGTTCATCTCTAAGAAACCAAAAGAACAAAGAGGAAATACAAACAGCGAGATGGCAACACCATATTTTCAACACCAGGTATAAATATGCAACAACTATGGCTGTGTCTGCCTCTCGCATTGCAGTCACTTCTTTATGTTCCCCCTCAGGACGTTGGCGATCATGGGACTCCACAAATTCCTGTTCTTTGTAGCTTTTAATAAAATGTGTCTTTTTTATATCTCATAAACCCTGTTCTGCCATCCATTTACAAAACCTTGATAGGTAGGTTATGCGTTATTTCGTCTATCCGTCTTGCCTTCAATCAGTCCCGTGAGTATCACATTTTCCAAACCGTCTTTCCTCAATATTGAGCCCTAGCAATTTCAACTGATTCTTCGTGATGTTAAGTATAAGTTTCCTTTTTGTTTCCATTTTCTATAAACTTCGTCGCATAATCGGTCCACGGTACCATCAGCATCACATTTCTATTGCTTCATCTTTGAGAAAATTGTCCAGCACTCACTGCCAAACAAAAGAGTTTGACTCTCCAATACGGAAAATTAATGTTCTTCCATGACTGTGATAGACAAATAGTGCCGCATTTAAATCGGACTAGTTGTAAACAATTTTTAACAAGTTGCAAAACGGTTTCCAAGTAAACATTTCAGTACAGCATGCCGTTTCCAAATCTCTGGCGGAGTGAATTGTGTCCTGTTGCTTTTGTTTTTCACCGTCGGTGCCTAACTGAACTCAATATACTGTATAGTCGACAAAATCAAAAACAAACAACGCGCATGCGCAAAATTAAAAATATAAAATGGTAACAATTTACCATGGCAACCTGTAAAACTGCTGCGTTCCTCAGACATCCCTCCACTTTGATTGTTAAACGTCGGCTAAGTGGAAACAGGGTGAACAATGACTAAAAAAATAGAATACCATAAGAACTAGACGAGATATCCCTAGAAAAGGGGCAGAACAATCTACTCCCGTAGATTAAATAAAGGGTTCAGTTCAGTATACCCTGTGGGTTACCCGGATCGGCATACACCTGATGTAGGCCGAAACGTTGTGATTATATAAAGAGAGAGAAAGAGAAAGGGTGTGAGAAAGATATATGAAGAGATTGTGTGTGTGTGTGCGGACATCGGAATAAACATTACATCACGACTGTTAGTCGATTACCTCAATGTCATATTTTGTATACACTGTAAACGCTCACTTCTTTATATTGAGTTTCTTACCGTGATATATATATATATATATATATATATATATATATACACACACACACAAAGACATTTTTATGTTTATACATTCTTTTTATAGATACAAATATTTAAGTAAATGCTCTATTTATATTAAATAGCATTTACCGGCCTGAATGCCCGGGAATTTTTCACAGAAAATATTCGTCCTCCGACAGAATTCGAACCTGTATCCTATACGGAACTGTCATTTAGCTTGACGTGCCCTTACCGATTTGTCCACAGAGGAGAGTTCGGTTAGCAATGTCGAATTTACTGTATTTAAACTCCAATCTTACATGAATCTCTCACGTGCATTCATATCTGCTCATGGCGTATCAAATGTAAACAAATGTCGTCACACATTATGAAATATTCTTTAAAACTGTTTATTATAAACAGAGCATTTACTTAAATATTTGTATCTACAAAAAGAATGTATAAACATAAAAATGTCTTAAAATAACTGTCGGACTTTGTCCATTTCATATATATATATATATATATATATATATATATATATATATATATATATATACAAAAGTAAAAGAACGAAGAGTAAAATTTACGCGTTCAAAACATTGATTCAAATCAGACCTCAATACAAAGTAGAGCAATAAATATTTATTTATTATGCACTGTTACATTAGAACATGAACATAACTACTACAAAACTGTATATCTTGTTTCAACGTTAAAAATTAACGTTTCTTCAGGTGGGAAATCACGATATTACTAAAAAGCTTTTATTAGCATCGTGATTTCCAACCAGTAAAAACGTTATTTTTAACGTTGAAATAAGCTGTACAGTTTAGTAATGGGTGTGTACATGTTTTAATGTAACAGTGCATTATATATATATATATATATATATATATATATATATATATATATATATATATAGACATCTAAATTACTATCAAACATTAAAGTCCATTTTTTACATAAATTGCTAAAACTTACCACCCTTCTTTCTCTTTACTTTCCCCTTATTTCTTTTTCCTTTTTTCTTTTCTCTCCTACCATTTCAATATATCACTTCCGTTAAGTTAACCGTTTAAATAGGTCAAGGTCTGGTCCCTCCTTCTCCCCCAATACTAAATATGATCGAGAGAGATATTAAATTAAACCCTCCCTAAACTCTACCATGTCTCTCTAACTACTCCTTATTACACTCTCTGTTAAATTACAAAAAACTTACACTACCCATCAATTTTCTTTTCATTTTTTGTTTTATTTTTTGGAAGTGCTATCTGATGATCCGGCCTCCTTTTAAAAGGGCTCTGGTGAAATAAATTATTATAATGGAACCTTAAAATGGTCTGTTCTTTCTTTAATATATATATATATATATATATATATATATATATATATATATAGGACAATAAGTTCAAAACCGACAGGTGACAGTTTATTTGAAGCGTGAGCATAAACCTTAGGCCAATCTTCTATGTTATATCCATTTGGTAATGGAGTTTCTATTATTTGGTACCTCGTTTTGTTTGTGATTCTTTTGCGCCTGTCCACAATGTTCGAAGTAGTGTGGCCTTCACCATGACCTTGAGGCTCTACTCACTCAAAGCCTTTTTTCACCAATGATCTTAGAAAGCGCTTGATTACAGATGACAGCTTAATTATTTCTGAAAGGGTTTGGTGACATGCATGAAAATCTTGATCTGACAATGCTATTTCAGAACATGTCTCAAGTTTTCAGGATAATTTTTTGGGTTTTTGAAACAAGGCGCAGTATTGGGTGCAGCAATTTTATTTTTTCCCATTTGATTATAAAACCCACTGAGGATGGAAGGCAACCAGTCTCTTTGCTGATAATGACCCAACACCGGTTCATAAAAGGATATGAGATACAACAAAAGAAGACTTTTTGTTAACAGACTCTACATTGGACAGAATTTCACTGAGGAAAAGCTGAGAAAATCCCAATGGCTAACTATATATATATATATATATATATATATATATATATATATATATATATTGAACAATAAAAATATTTAAAAAATAAAAATTTTCAGGCAAACTGAGTTGTATAAAAATATTTTTTTTATTATTTCAGTTAGGTTCCTCGACTAGTTTCGACCAGCATGGCCATCATCAGGAGAAAAAATCCCTGCTTGTTAGTAGCAGTGAACTACGGGTTTGAATGACTGCTTCTGAAGAAAGTGAACTATCTGTCGTTTTCATTTGTTTATTTATCGTTAATTTTGGTCAGTCCTTGTGTAGAACAAATGGCCTCTTTCAAGTTGGTTTTAAGATAAAAGATGGGAGATTCCTGACTTTAAGAAATCCCTCCTTTGTCATTTTGACAGTTTTATTGGTGGCTGGGAATGGGATGTGTGTGTGTTAAATTTATGTTATGTTTTATTTCTTTGGAAGTATATATATATGAAGTGTGTATGTGTATATATTAGTATGGGTATGTGTATATGTGTGAGACCTCAACACCTCTGCATGCATGTCTGTCTTGTGTGGGTGAGAAATGTGGATAGGGTTTGATTCATATATATATATATATATATATATATATATATATATATATATATATATATACCCGTGACAAATTTTAAATCATACTTTTACTCGCCGTGGCTGTTCGAGTTAGGTTTGTTGGCGGAAGTTAGCGCACTTTCTTTGGAAAGTTTTTATTATTATTATTAGTAGTAGTAGTGGTGGTGGTGATGGTGGCAGTATGGTAACGGTTCTTTCGCACACGTACCTAGTGCACGTTTACATGTCGTGGCACCCACTGATATCTTGTGAGGTGCAGATCTTCAATGGGTGGACAGGGGTCACATCTCTCATGTCGACCCGTCCAGACATCTGGCTTATCTGACTTCACATTATGCAAATTATTTTCTATCATCTTGGATGAGAAACATACTAAACGAATTCAATTAGTCCAAAAATACTAATGAGGGAAGGAATAATTGAAGGGATAGACAAGTGGAAAAACTTACAATATGAATACACAAGTATGTGACCAGATAGATAGATAGATAAGAACAGACTAAGATAGATAGATAGATAGATAGATAGATAGATAGATAGATAATTGACTATCGTTGCGAGATAGATAGATAATGAACTATCGTTGCTAGATAGATAGATAGATAGATAGATAGATAGATAGATAGATAGATAGATAGATAATTGACTATCGTTGCGAGATAGATAGATAGATAGATAGATAGATAGATAGATAGATAGATAGATAGATAATGAACTATCGTTGCTAGATAGATAGATAGATAGATAGATAGATAGATAGATAGATAGATAGATAATGAACTATCGTTGATAGATAGATAGATAGATAGATAGATAGATAGATAGATAGATAGATAGATAGATAGACAGACAGACAGACAGACAGACAGACTACGATATTGTTAAATAGACAGATATATCAACATAAATATTAAATATAGCTAGCTAGATATAGATAGATAGATAGATAGATAGATAGATAGATAGATAGATAGATAATGAACTATCGTTGATAGATAGATAGATAGATAGATAGATAGATAGATAGATAGATAGATACTACGATAGGTAGATTGTTAAATAGACAGCTATATCAACATAAATATTAAATATAGCTAGCTAGCTAGATAGATAGATAGATAGATATGAGTAGTGAGATAGACAAATTCCGCTAATCAAACTAAATCAAACTTTATTTTCTCCTGAATGAATACCTTTTATTGTCTCAGGCGATTTTCTGGTCTGGGTTGATTTTTTCATACTGGCGCCAATTGTCAGAATTCCAGTCCAGAATATAGAACCATTTTCGAATATTAATTTACAATTCAAAAGAAATATCTTCAAATGAAATGCATGTGGAACGCAGCCTTCTGACCCGCTTTAATTGGTTTTCATATAAATCAAGTTCAGTCAAGTATATCTATATTACCGTAAGCTTCAAGCGTGTAACCTCGCCCCCTACACACACACACACACACACATATATATATATATATATATATATATATATATATATATATATATATATATATAAAAAATAATCATACATAGAATCAATCAGCAATATTAATGATTGATTCTATGTTATTTTTATATATAAAATATATGCTGCCTAATATTATATATATATATATATATGGGTGTTTGTGTGTGTGTGTGTGTGTGTGTGAGAGAGAGAGAGAGAGAGAGAGAGAGAGAGAGAGAGAGTGTTTGATAATGAACGACGATAAGAGAGATATAAATAGACACATAGATATGGACAGACCGATAGATAGATTAGAGAGATTAGAATGTTCTGAAATATACAGCGAAACAAACCTGTATTTGGGTGACCATATTAATAAGATAGATAGATAGATAGATAGATAGATAGATAGATAGATAGATAGATAGATAGATAGATAATGAACGGACTGACGTAACTAGGTAGTTAGATAAATATGAACATTCTCAGATAGATAGATAGATAGATAGATAGATAGATAGATAGATAGATAGATAGATAGATAAAGAACAGACTAAAATATATATATATATATATATATATATATATATATATAAAGAGAGAGAGAGAGAGAGAGAGAGATGTTGATAGAAAGAAAACAGAAATGAACATTGATATATAGATCGAAAGAACCAAACTATGATTAATAGACAAATAGATATGATGAAACAGAGATAGATAGATAGATAGATAGATAGATAGATAGATAGATAGATAGATAGATAGATAGATATGAACAAACCGAGATAAATAGATAGATAGATAGATAGATAGATATGAACAGGCTGAGATAGATAGATAGATAGATAGATAGATAGATAGATAGATAGATAGATATGAACAAACCGAGATAGATAGATAGATAGATAGATATGAACAAACCGAGATAGATAGATAGATAGATAGACAGACAGACAGATAGATAGATAGATAGATAGATATGAACAGGCTGAGATAGATAGATAGATAGATAGATAGATAGATAGATAGATAGATAGATATGAACAAACCGAGATAGATAGATAGATAGATAGATAGATAGATAGATAGATAGATAGATAGATAGATAACTGAATGATCTTCGAACAGACGTTCATTATGATTTGGCCATGTAGACGTTTTCGTAACATCTAATCCCTAAGCGACGTCTATTTTAATTCCATGGAAAGCCGTAAGATGAATAATACCATCTAAATATTTATTCCGACATCATTTAATAAACATTCTTACTTAGCGTCATTTCATTACTAAAGGAAATTTGTAAAGATGGGAATAACGATGAGACCTCGCCACAAGCAGACTTGCATGACTTCATTGTTGCCTGAAAGATAATCATAAAAATGGATTACAAATGAAAGTCATAAACTTGTTGTAGGTTTTATATTTGATCATTAATGGTAATCTAAATCACTTCCATAATTGAATTACTTACATTATCAGAACCGAGCGTCTTGATTACGCCATTAGATTGGCCGGTTCAAAACAGACACATTTGCTTTAAGTCGGTTTGCTTTGGTCCTTCGTTTTAGTTTGCTTGAATTGTTGTTAGCCTCAGATTAGAAATGCGAATTCCCTTGAGAGTCCACAAATAATTGTTAATTTGGTTTTGACTTTAGAATATTTTCAATTCCTTCCCTTACTTTGCCCCTCGTCCATAAATATACGGATTTAGTTTTGACGTAATAATCTCACTTATAAATTGATCTTCAACATACTCCGTCATCAGTCAGGTTTTATCTTTTTTTTAATTTATATCGCTTTCTCTCCTCCCACAAGCAAATGTATATATATATATATATATATGTGTGTGTGTGTGTGTGTGTGTGTGTGTGTGTGTGTGTTAGTGTATGTAAAAATATATAGAAAATAGGAAAGAACTCGTAAGGTAAATATCCAAAGTTCTTTAGTATTTTTGTTATTATATATATATATATATATATATATATATATACACTGCGTGCCAAATTATTATCGAGATAATTTTTTTTATAATATTTCAAAAACCGTCCAATCAATTGACACAAAATTTTCACACAATGTTGGCAACACTGACCTGCGCAATCACTGAAATTTTCGTACTAATCTGCGCAATGTAAACAAACTGGCGCCATATTTGTTATCAGCACGTTGATTTGAGCGTGCCAAATTATTAGAAAGGTTTAGTAAAATTCCCAGAATTGAGCAAACAAAACGTTTATTAATGTTGCACGTGAATGTTTATGATCAAAAGAAGCTGTTTTGAAATTACTTGAAGAAGTCGACGATCCATAGAATTTGTTAATTGTATGATGTCATCTGCTGTAATTCCGCGAGATATGTCAAGAATTGCTTCCCACAACTCAGCGTTACTCCTGAATTGCCGTCCGTTGGCGTACAGTCTTCGCTTCATGATGCTCCAATGGTTTTCGTTTGGGTTCAAATCCGGAGAATTTGCTGGCCACTTCATTTTCCGAGGTCTATCGAAGCCTAACTGTTTCAAATATTCATTAGTCTTGTGAGCAGCGTGTGAGGGAGCATTATCTTTCATAAAAAACAATGGCCCTTCTGAAAGCGACTCTTTTCTTTTTCATCCACGGTTGAAGATGCTCCTTCATAAATGCTATGTATGCATCAGCAGTCATTTTGACGCCATCTAGTACTCTCCATGGGCTCACTAATGTTTTTCCAATAATACCACCCCAGATCATTATGCCTCCACCGCCTTGTTGGCGTCTCAAACGCTGATGGCGATTCTCTCCGTTCATTACCCAGCCTTTGCACCATCTGTCTGGCCCATCAAGCGTTTCTCGAGTTTCGTCTGTGAACAAAACTTTAGAGAAGTCAATCTTCATATTGTCCTCGGCTCATTTCAATCGATTTTGAATGTGATTTCTCGTCAACGGAGGGTTCGATACAGGTTTGACTGTTGTTGCTATTTCCCTCAGATACCGACACGGAATACTTTTAGACATAGTAGGATCCCCAATGCGACTGAAAAGCTCTTGAATGGTAAGTCCAGGGTTCTTCGTGGCCTCTCGTTTATGTCGTGACATGAGACGACGTGAAATAACCCTCGGCTTGCCTTTATCTGCCCTTTTACGTACTTGTGTAGGGTCGGCGTTTTTCACTGTTTGATGACACCTCCCTATCATTTTAGAAATTTCTAGGGTAAATTTACCTTTTGAGAGTTCTGAGGTGATAGTTTTCTTTTCAGCATTACTTAAACTGCTTTTACGGCCCATCTTTTCACTAAATTCTTACACTTTTTTAATAATTTGGCACGCTTAAATCACATTGCTGATAACACATATGGCGCCAGTTTGTTTACATTGCGCAGATGAGTACGAAAATTTCAGTGATTGCCAACATTGTGTGAATTGATTGGATGGTTTTTGAAATATTATAAAAAAAGTTATGTCGATAATAATTTGGCACGCAGTGTATGTATATAATTGTGTATTTAGGCAGCAATCCCTCTTTTTTGTAAGTTTCACTAAAGAAATAGGACTGACAACGTCGTGCGATTAAGCTTTTTATTTACATTTTCTTGTGTTCGTGCAAGTGTTTTCTTTTCTGGGCAAAAAGTGAGTAAAAACTGTCCAAAAGATCCGCATATCCGCGCGCTTTCAGCTATTCCTTTACCCATTATCAAGGGATATTTTTGTTTTAGTTTTTTTTATTATTATTATTATTTTTAACTGACTGTGTGTTTGTTATAAATGTGCCTGAAGTTATAGGAATGTTTATTATCCAAACACCGTCAGCACATTGTGGGCGTGTTCGTACTTAATGTTATTAAGAGTTGGCCTTTCCTTTTTTAATATATTGACTTCCATTATTTCAATTATTTTTTACACACGGATGAGGCTATTATATTTGTATTTTCTACTAATATGTTACGAATGGAGTTTGGTAGGTTTTGTGTGTGTCTGAATGAGTCCTAATTGAGCCAAAGTCTGGTAGGTGTAACGTTAGTCGTCTAGATAGGCATTCAAGTTGTCTGGCCAGTACATTTATTTATGTGATTAGTTTGATCAGAAACACAGTTTCTTAAGGGGCATTTCAACTTTGACTTACAAAGAACCAACATTATTTACGAGTGTGTTGTTATTTTTTAGGATAAGGTTAGCTATTTTTTAAAAAATTATAATAATTTTTTTAATTTTCTTGTTCAGGTCGACTGAGGTGTGTATATTTTATGATATTTCTAAAAGAAAAAGAGACTTGCTTATAGTTGACATGTATTTGGCAATTGAAGATGTTAATGTCATTATTTTCATCTTTATGTTCAGTATTGAAATTCCTTAGTTTAGAAAAAAATAGAATAATCTGGTGGTCGATGAGTTAGTTAAGATATCTATTCTTAACTAACGTTTGGTTACACGATTGAGTTCTTTAACGAATGAGGACGAGGTGGGGGAAATCTCGTGAGCCCTCTTGAGTAATTTTTTTACAGCTCCGATTTTAAATCTAAGTGGGCATTCACTCTCTAAATTAAGATGGAAAGTGTGTTTTTTAGAGATTATATTATAATTTTTTGTTTGCTGTTCGCTAGAATAAAAATATCATCTACATAGCGGGCATATATCTGGGGATTAGTGACTTCTTTAAATATCATGTTTTCTACGTGAGACATTGAAGAAGCACGGACTGAAAAGATTTCTCATACTAACAACGTTAGTTTGGGTGTAAATGTTGTCATTATAGTCGTAAAAATGAACTTTAAGTGTGCAGGCATGCAAATGATTTTAATATATTTGATTTAATACATATATATATATATATATATATATATATATATATATATATATAGTGCTATGGATAAATTGTAGTCAAAATGACACAAAAATGGAAACAACAGTGACATATATTTACCAAAATTAGACAAAAATATTTTGAAATAGTAAAGAGTAAATGTATTGAATAAAATCGCCATTAGTTTCAACCACATCAGAATCTCCTGTAACTCTACTGGGCGGTCTCCTTGTTTAATTTGGTGAATGCTGCTATAATACTTGCCTTCAGTTCATATTTGGTGTTACAAGGAATTTAGTCTGTGTCTCACTCAACTGCACCCGACACCTAATAATCAAAGAGCTTACAGTCTGGGGAGTTAATTGACAAGTTGTAAGGGGTGATGTGGTTGCAGAACTTGTCTTACAGCCATGACTGTGTTCTCCTGAATGTGTAGCATGGTGCAGAGACCAGTTGCCAGGCATCGGGTCTTCCAGAAGCCAACCTTTCGATTCAGGTCAGCACTACCTTCTTAAGGCACTTAACGTAGGTTTGTGTGTTTAGTCGAAGCTCATGTGGGAAGATGAATAAACGTATAACATCGCCATCACTACACCTACGTAATCACCATTATACTCATCCAACTCTTTCTGAATCCACTGCAGAATGATACCCAAACACTGAAATGTTCGCATTGGAGCTTTCGATGCTAAGGCCAAGAAGTACATCATGCCGTTTCCAAATTTCTAGCGGAGTGAATTGCGTCATGGTGCTCTGTTTTCTCACAAACGGTGACCCATTGACCTTATTATACGGTATAGTCGACAAAATCAAAAACAAACAAAGCGCATGCGCAAAATTTTAATGGCGACAACTTACCATCGCACTGAATAATATATATATATATATATATATATATATATATATATATATATATATATGTATGTATAATTTGGCATGACTTTTAAAATCCTGGCAGAAATGTTGTTCTGCAGGTAATAATTTTTCGACTTAATTCAATTACGATAATTATTAGTTCTGTAGTGAAAGGGCCATTTTCCCACATATTCTTTCTGCCGTAGTGTGCATTCTAAGAGGTAAATTATGTTATGACTTCTACATTAAGACTCGTGGTAGATTTGACTGAGCTAGTGAACGAATTGAAGTGTCTAATTTGTTTACAGCATGATCTTCTCTTGTTGCTACATAGTTGGAAAAATCCTGTTGTTTTTATTTTTGGTCTTTTACGGATCATCTTATTCTCGGAAATGCGGTTACTACCTATAATTTTCCTTAAGGTTCTTAGGTTTACGTTATGCTAAAAGCTCGGGTTCCTCAAACAAAAATTTTAGGTCTG